GGGTCTTCAAGCCACGCCTACGGAAGTTTGACAGAGATGGTGGGTAACAAAAGGACGGGCAATGGTAAAAAGAAGTATGAGACAATGTAAAATTTGCAGAAAGCATCAAGAAAAACTTTATGCGTTGTCAAATATGCCGCCATTACCTACATTCAAAGGTAAGCCTTGTAGACCATTTGAAATAGTTGGTTTAGATTACTTCGGCCCAATATCAGCAAGAATCAAAGAAAATGAGGGGACAATGATCAAACAATGGGTATGTATCTTTACCTGCCTAGTAACGCGTAATATCCATTTAGAGGTAGTCCACGATATGACTACAGCAAGTTTTTTAAATAGTTTCAGGCGTTTCATCGCGATACGAAGTCAGCCAAAGGTAATTTATTTAGATAATGCAACCCAATTCAGGGCTGCAAATAAATTTTTAAATCAGCTATGGAATGGCCTGGTAGTTGGTCCTCAAGTATGCGCTTACTATGCTAACCAAGGAATCACCTGGAGATTCATCGCCGAATATTCGCCTTGGCAAGGTGGATATTATAGAAGGTTACTAGGGGTCGTCAAATCAGCATTATATGAGACAATAGGCCGTAAGATATTAAAGTTTGAAGAGTTTAAAACGCTGATTTATGAAATTCCAGCCATGATAAACTTTAGACCATTAACGTATATGTATAATGATATCGTGTCAACGGATACACGACCGATGGATTTTTTACAGTGTGGTGGGTCCACTGGTATAGCACCAGTTAGGGTCTTCAACGATTCAGATTATGTCCCTCCGCAACAGCGGAAGGAATTTTTCAATTTTTATTAGGCCAATTTGTCTCTTAGAGAGGGCTTTTGGCATCTCTTCAAAGTTGAGTATCTGTTAAGCCTCAGGGAACGCCGGACCCATACGTTAATGGAACCCAGTTTCACAAGATGATCTCGATCTGCTTGCTTATGTTATTAGATGACAAAACACGCTCGGAAGAGATAGCAGCCTTGCTTAGAAACGTATGCATGGAAGGTTTCGTTGAATTCCCTTGCTTGCCAAAGCCATATAAAATGGTCTCAAAACTGCCTGTGTTTTTGAGAAGCTAGTGTTGGAGAACTCTGAGCAAGTGTGGAAAAACATTGTCAACCCGTTCACTGGCTCCCAACTGGGATCGCCATATCAACTCATTAGCTTGTTTTATGTTGCTTATCTCAAGAATAAGGAGGAAACTGCCCAGAGATTGGAAGAACCTTCTGTGAATCAGATAGAGTGTCGTGACTGAATTTTTACCATGAAGTGAATCCATCCTGGATTTAGCAACTTGACAACAGAATTTGAGATAAGAGGATGAGAACTCCTCTTATCTCAAATTCTGTTGTCAGGTTGCTAAGTCCAGGATGGATTCGCTTCGTGGTAAAAATTCAGTTCAAAAAGTTGAGGGTGAAATTCTTTATCAAATTGCCATGTTGGACCTTGAAGAACTGTCAACTCTTAAAACCACATCAAACTTTGATGCCTCATGGTACAAATATGATCTGAACAAAACATACCCGAGAAGTAAGGTTACTGAGGCTTTATACAAGTATGCTGGGAATGAAATCAATGTATTTGCTTTGTCTCTAAGGGCATTGAGGAAATTGGAGGATCAAAGGTGCACGCATACTGACATTTCCAGAAAGCCTGAGCATGATGGAATCAGAGAAATCTACGTGATGGGCATCAGGGAGAGCTGGGTACAACCGTTGTGTGTCAGTCAACCTCTGATGACGCGCAGAAATGGAACCAGGTACACACTGTTTCAAAGTTTGCAATGCTTCTATTCCAGTTCACTCCAGCATACATGCACAATTTCATATTCAGAGCATTAGCACTGTTCACAAGGAAAAGGATAATGATAAGTTCAGAATTAATGGAAAACTCAAATGGTACGGTTCTGGTAACAGCTCCAACCAAGTTGGCGGTGCAGGAAATCACTGAAAAGATTCTCAGTGAGTATGAACCCCAAGTAAGAGAAATATTATTTCTTCAATCGGTGGCGAATGAGGTTCTAACACAGCAAGTAGGCGAGTAGAAATGGAAGAACTGTAGGGTACCCGAAGTGCTGCAAGCGCACGCAGACAATAAAGCGAAGGAAGCAAAGTCAAAATTAGCTTATCAATTTTTAGCTAGACGCCTTGTTCATGATGGGAATCCCTATCACGGAGGTGAAGCTCTCCGCCTAGCTATAGAGATTCGACGACCAAAATTAGTATTTGGTACGATACCAATGATTGGAATGCTGATGCAAGTCTGGAAGCAGAGTTTTGAGATGAAACATTTACAACATCTAGTGATAGATGGTGGTTTGTTACCAGAGATGTTTCTACTAGCTATGATGCCAGCTTTACCGAGTATTTAACGTGTATTGGTTACTGGAGATCAGTACCAGTTACCTCTATATCCTGGAACTCTAACAGATAATGTCATATGTTTAGGTCATGAGGCAGCCATCGAGAAGCTGCTTAATAATCCAACAGTTGATTGTGTTTTTATCAAAGAATTTTAGACGCCACCCAGCTTTAGCCGATGCACTGTTCAAAATGGCCTCAAGGCAGTAGACTGTAGTGATTCAGACATGGCCCTGAGGGGAAGCTTTTGGAGGCAATGGTGGAACAGTCAGTACGACAATGACGGTATATGAGGAGCAAGGTAACGGCTAAAGAGTCGGTTAGTTCTCATTCACTTGATATCAGTCGATATTGACTCTACGGTGAAATTCTCGTCTGCTTCCTATTAGTGTCTTTGTGATGACGGTCGTCAAGATTGTTCAATTCTCCACTTGTATTTCAGTTCCAAGGTTTTGTTTTTCATTTCGTTTAGTTAGAATTTATCATTATATAAATTTTCTTCAAGATAAGGTTTATCTGTTTGTTTGCTTGTATTGTTCGATAATTCTTTGTAATAGGGTAGCACTAAAGACCACACTTGGTCAGTGTTGCTTTTCTATCAATAATTTCCATCAATATTATATTATACATTGTTAGGAGAGATTTGTGAGCAACTGCTCCGTGATCTTTCCTTATACTTTGTGTTTTTTACGATTTCACTATACATTGTTGGAGGAGATTTGTAGACAATTGTCCCGTGATCTTTTCCTTACACTCTGTATTCCTAGAGCTTCGTTACTTATAATCGAAGGTTTCAATAAATAATGAATTATCTAATCAAATCAAACGGCCAACACTTAAACGTTACCACTAGGCAAATACAGTCCTCAAAATATATAGTGCTGCAAGCATCGGCGACTACGACTGCTTGCGGTTTAAAGTTCAGTAGAAGTTCGGTTCCCCATAGGGACACTGAAGAGGAGTAGTGATCAACTCCCCAATTAATTAGACGGGCGGTAGTCGCGACACGAGGATTAGAAACCTTTTTGTGTTAAAAAGTTTGTAGCCTCTACGAGCTAGTTTTAGAACAAAAGTATAATTATTTGATAGACGTCGCTCTGGTCCAACTCCCCACCTGATTCCGTTGCAGGGAACGAGTAATGCAGCTACCGACCGATCGGCACTTGAACACTAGAACCAAGAGTCACTGTTGTATACCACTGTCGTCGTGCAGCTCCCACTTATGCTACACTTCTCATATCACTTCTCATAACAGTGCCAGATTAGATTCGAAAACAACAGGATTTCCTTTTCCTGCTGTGGTTTCCGAACCTGTTCCTTCAACTGTGGTTGAACTAGATGGCGGGTAGAGACAGCAAGGAGCTCGTTAATTTATGCATGTGAGTAATCGTTAGCTTCAACACATTCTGCGCTTGAAAAGGTTCTACGTGGGCATCTACCAATGCAAGGCAGACATGTCCTTTTCCACGCTAACGCTTTATAAGCAGAAAAGTACGAACGACCGAAGTCGCTCACACCTTTCTGCCAATAATACGCTAGCAATGTTGCAGAGAGACTGCGGTTCTTCCTGCATGCTTGATACTATAGCGAACCCCTTTCTCGCCCTCTTCCTAATAGCTCCTCAACTAGCTTTGCTTTCATGCCCAAAAATTATACTTTTTCCTTCAGTGTTTAGCGTATTTAATTTTATATCATCCCCTCAGCATAAACGAGCTTGTAGTACGGCATTCTTCATATTTCTTCTAACGTTGTCTCAGTGTAGCTCAAACTTGGCGTTTACATCGCTTTTTCTTATACACAATGCAAAAGCAAATTTTTTTTTGCTCAAAAGAGAAAAGAGAGGTAGAGAAATGCAACACGGTACGCTAAACACAACGAAGCAGGAAGGCGGAGAAGATCATTTTGTAAACTGAAAATAAAATTTTTGTTTGAAATTTGAGTATTTATCATTTTTTTTAAACTGATAAAAGTATTTTAAAAGTTTATTTATTTAGCGACAAAAGCGTCGCCATTGCAATTTAATGGAGAAGGAACAAAATGAAGAGCGAAGTACCAGCTTTAAAGTTTTGTTGCGATCAGCTGATGTTACTTTTACCGATGATCTACTATCCGTTGGTGGATATAAGATAACAGTGACAATTTATGGAGTTAACCGTTATTGACCCACAAAGTTCTGCTTTGTGGAATTCAAAGAAAAAAAATTTTCATATCCGCCATTGAGGCAACAAATATAGGATGAAAAATATCCTTTTTTTTACTGTTGTTGTTATTTTCCCTGTTATAAAAAATGGTAAAAAGTAGTAAGAACAGTAAAAAAAAGAACCTGTTACTGATAAATTGTCGACTAAAATTGTTTGAGGTACAGGGAAACAATAGAAGAATTTTTTTATGTGAAAAAAATACTAAGAGAGGGAAAAGAAAAAAACTACCGCCTAACGCTGTATCTGTAGGAAACGGAAAAGAGACAAGCAGACAGACAGAGACAGATAGATGGGCAAACGGGGATACGGGGACTGAAGAGACATCTCCGATAAGTTGGGTTCGTAGCGTTTTGCTCAGTTCAAAAGTCCTGTAAATTCGTTCCTTCAAAGTTACAAACAGATACTGAAACTTGCCCGGGCAGAGTTCACTTGTACAGTTCCTATCTTTCAACTGAAAACAGAAGCAACAGGATCTGAACTGCGGCATTTAAAGGAAGCCAAAAATTCCTACCTATTCTTCTTATTTTTGACCCCCTAATCTTCATTTTTCGTCCCCAACTTTCATTTTTGTCGAAACAAGTTCCGTCCAACCAAGTTTCGCACTCACTCTCTTCCTGCTTCTCACTTTCAGAACATATAATCTGTTAACGAAACATGTACTATTGGCTGAATATCCAAATCATGCCGTTCATTTCTTTCCACTTTTTTTCCTTTATTTAGATAACACTTTGCGAGAAATATAGGTCTCTACCAATCACTACTCTTTTCCAACTTACCATCATCACTAACATCTTTCACCCTTCACCATTAATCTGTAAAGAGTTTTGACAGAAAATCAGAGAAAAAAAGACGAAATATTGTTCCCTATATGATACCCCTATATTGAAACCTTTCTTTTAAACGGATAAGACTGATTCCTCTACAGTATCACTGATTAATAATACACTGACACAAATACTATGTGTATATGTGATTAGTGTTAAAACCCGTTGCACAAACTGTGTACTAAACAGCGATATTTTTGTCGTCATGGTCTGCTGAGGAAACCTTAGTGCTTTTTGCTGAATTGCATCAAAATATTCTCACGAGTAAGCCCAAACAAAATTGAAAGAAAGCATAAATGACCCATTTTCATCGTTATAGTGAATATGTATATATCTGCTTATATATAACTCACCCTGAATAACAACACCGAAAACGTCGACGACAACCACAACAACAACACCATTAAGGTTTCCCCAACGCATTTTTGCTTTGTTGAATATACATAAGAAAGGAGTACCAATGTGAACTATAATATTTGTTCCAAACTGAGGAAAACGGAACGGCGTCATCTGCAAGAGCAAAGAAAAATGTGAAAAAAAAAATGAAAATTTTGGTAGTACCTTTCCTAAAAACAAACAAAAAATTACTTAATAACAACTCAAAACGCTCTCATCGATTTTAAAACAAATTTACCATTCAAAGTAACCTCTCCTACAAAAAAAAACATCATTCTTTTACCTCATGTACCTGTAGAAGCAAAGAAAAAAAATGACTGCAAACAAACGCACCTTGATTTTAGACCGCAGTAACTACCTACCAATAGCACTGTTGACAATTTCAGAAAATACCAATTCCTCTTGTCACGCCTCCGCTCATCCTTGTCCCGAACCTACTGCCCCAGCACCAGCACACTCCGATATATCAGGACAGTTCTGCATCCGTATGCTCAAAAACAGTAAGGCAACAAAACAAAGACTTGTTGCAGCTATTTTCACACTTTTAAATTCAATAAAACTCCCTGTTCACACCTAGCTTATGATAAATCAATGTATTTAATACTTTTAATGCTGAAATTTATGTTGTAGCATTCGTGAAAATATGTCAGAAATAGCTGTATTGTTGACAAGCCGCACAAATTGTACTTTATTTCCTATTAATTTACCAGACAAGCAATAAAAGAAAATCGTAAAATATTTCTGTGACAGAGCCATAAGTTTTTCTTACCAAAAACCTACCAAACAATAGACGGGAGAATACGACAAATGGAATATGAACATAAGATAAAGTAAGCAAAAAAAGAAAAAAGAGAAAAAACAAGAAATTGATAATATATTATAAAATGAGGTTTATTCTACAACGTTCCTCCTTACCAATATTTGCTTCTTAACTCCTGAGATTGACTGTTGAAAATAGAATTCAATTATTACTTAAAAGTACGGATGTTTCGAATCGCATAAAAAACACTTCAGGTAACGAAAGAAAAGGAAAAATGCAAAATAAACGTGGTCGTAAGATAAAAAAAGATAATGGTTAAAACCGAATAAGCTACAAAAAACCGACCAATGAACTAAAAAAAGCTCAGTTAAGGAAATGAAAAGAAAACTTACTAGTGCAACTATGCAGCAACTTCTGGAAAGTGCTGACAAACAAGCCTCGTATGAGTTTGCTTATATTAAAAATTTTCCAGATAACTTAGACTGTGGCAACTTAATAACACAAGCAGTTAACGCTACTAATTGCGCGTGAGCCTTTAATAATACCGCAGCTTCTGATGCATTTGTCATTAAACCTGCACAGTTTTAACAGTAACACACAAGTCGCAGAAAAACTGAAGCAGTAATGAAAGAAAAATAAACATCTAAAGCTTGACTTCACAGCTGCACTTAATCTACTACCCCCTACACTAAAGACATTTGCACATATCATCTCCACAACTCACTTACCTTCCTGCCAGATTATGCCTTGCAACTCACCATCCTTTTATATCAACCATATTTCAGTAGCCAGCTACAAAATGCTTGCTAAACGACATCTGTGTCTTAACGATTCCGGGAAAACAAAATGAAAAAAAAATTCAAAAAAAAAAAAAAAAATGCAAATGGAAGACAAATTTAGAAAATAACTATTGATAATACTATACACAACTACTTACAAGTCGAACAATTTTTCTGGCGAGTAATTGTTCTATTAAAAAAATGCTTATCCATGAAGCATTAAACAGCAAACCTGGGTTGCAAGTTCTAAAAATTAAAAAATAAACGAAACGCACTTATCTAGTGCAAAAACTTTTAGCTGGAACAATAAAAATTAGATAAATTGAAACCTTCTAATATATATATGTTTTTATGTACAAAAGAAGGTGAAATGAATAACGATGCGAAATTAAAAACAGAACTATTTGTCACCAGGACAACTTTACAACTGTACAAGAAGTAAAATATAAAACAATTTACTACTTATTTTTGTGGCAGCACAAGATTTGCAGTAAAATAAAACTGTTCCCCGCTTGTGACTTAACAATATAATACGCGCGCCGCGAAGCTACTATACAAATACAGCAAAAACAATTGCACCACTAGCAGGACTAAACATTTACTTACTTACCTAACGCTCATTCATTCACTCAGGCAAATTGTTCGTAATTAATTAATTAATTTACTGACTGTACCACCATCACCCAAAAGTTTACAGAATCCGGCAATATCTTAGTCGTTCTTGAACTGTTAAGCTACACAACAACCAAATAAAGTAATCACCAGCCATCTAAAATCACTACGCGCAGCTCAGCTACTTCATTATTTTCAAATAAATTCTTGACTGTACTGTCAAAAAAGGAAAAAAAAAAGGAAAACTATTTACAAAATCTCAGAAAAAAAAGTAACATAGTACAGATGTGTAACTGTATCATCACCACACGACACGACAATCGCCCATTCAGTAAACCTGTGCTGAATTTTTATTTTTGTTTTTTTTTGTTTTTTTTTTTAAAAAAAATTTTACGCTTTTTTTAACTAAACATTTAAATGGTTTTATTAATAATTTTTTTTAGTATTTTTGAACTTAAAAAATTGCTAAACAGCTGATCAGGTAATCGTGGGTCAGCTAAAAATAAAAAAAATTATTCCTATTTACATACACAGTAGTGCGCAAAAAAATTAAAGCATTGAGAATGCAAAAGCTCTCCTGAAAATCCTAAAAAATCTTAATATCATCAAAAATGTTTGTAATAAACTTCACAACGACTTGGTACACCATAACTAGACGACAACAGCGCTTCAAAGAAAAGAACAGATAAGAAATCTATATATCAAAGAAAAAGAAAGAAAAAAGAAGGCTCGGATAGGAAAAACTTTAGAAGAGCAAACTAAAAGTATTACACAAATTAAACAAAGCTAAGCGTTAATCAGTGAAATGCCATACAACTCCTGGTGTCGACTACCCCCAAAGCAGAAGATATAAAGAGTGGAGTAGGAAAAATTAGTTAAGATTGTTGCATTTACGATCGTTGTTGCGTCCTGAGAAAAGCTTCCCGGATCTTTTAGAACGTTGTCTAATTTTTGGTTCAGAAGCAACGTGTCCCGCAGCTGTCGATCTGTAAAAATTGAAACAATAACAGACCGCTGAATGATGTTGGCTTACTTGAAAAATGATATATTTCCAGTCTATTTGCATGTTACACAGCTAAAAACTTAGAAGTAATTCCATCAATAATTTTTGTGACTTTTCTTCGTTCAATGCATTTCGGCCCTTAGTTTTGAATATTTTTTTACTTGACAGAAATAAAATGCAACGACAACCGACGCAACTTTAATTATTGACGCCGGAGCTTTGAACTACTTCTAACACTTCATAATGCTGTTGTAAAATGGCACGGTCAATACACAAAAATAGCAATCATGATTGTAAGAGAATTTCTACCGTAGAACAGCTATTATTTTTGCTATTATTAATATTATTACTAAACCCCCTGCCCGGGCCAAACAACAATTATCAACCATTTTCACCTTTACAACTGCACAAATTAATCTGCTAATATTAATTTTCAATTTTTTTACGCATTTGCTCAACAAATTTCCAATTTATTACATTATTTCAGACTCTGTGTATAAGATTGAAAGAAAATAAATAAATTTATCGTCAGTTTCATCCTCACCTTTTCATCTTTGAAGCAGAAAAATTAGTGTTATTTGACGCCTTCAAACGAACGTCTTCTTCTTTCCCTTTTCCTGTCCACGGTACATCTTCGAATAACTGAATACACTTAGACGTAAGCAACGATTCAAGAGAAATGAAAATAATATAATGCTAAACGTCCTTGCAGAAAACGCTACCCGCTTGCAAAATCAGGAAGTATCTATTCGAAGAAGGACATTTAACAGCTACTCAATTCATTACCTTCTGTTCTAATTGTGCCTTCTTTGCCGCCAAAAATTTAGCTCTATGTACAGATTCAAGATGCTGAAGATGAGACTTCGCCAAAGAAGCCGAAACCAGCTTTGAATTTTCGCTCGAAGCAGTGCTTGAGCAATCTTCTAAGTCATAATTCTGCACCATAACTGGTGACGACCTTCCTGACAAGGCATCCGCAGCTTCTGAAAGCAGTTCTACACTCAAATAAATTAAACTAATCATGAAAAAGTTTCCTCTTGAAGTATCAGAAAAGTATACATCCAGAATATAAAAGAAAAAGGAAAAGTGGCGAGGAGCAGATCGGAGACAAACCTTCAACATAAACCCAACCATCATCCATAACCAAATCATCACGCATTTTTTTTGGAGAAGTCGTGGCGACCGGCGCCGCATGACTTGTCAATACAGCGATATTCTCCTGAGAAATTGCCTGAATGTAATATGGAACTCCTCCGTATACTTTAAGCTCATAATAACAATACCACATCATCAGGAATTCATACAAACAATCTGACTAATTCCACACTAAACTTATTTTTCATCTGTTGATCAACAATTACTCGTCTCCATCTTTCTCATTACTTAGATTACAAGAGATAAGTTAAATTAA